AAATTATTTTAACATGTTTTTAATAAATTTTAATGTAATAGTTTTAATTAAAAAATAAGCAAGAGAGGAAAGAAGAACAAAAGATAATTAGAGGAAAATGAGAAAAACAAAAAATGGATGAGGAAAGAGAAAAATAAAAGAACAAAAAGAAAGAGAAAAATAATTTACTTATAAATAGTAAAAAATTTTAATTAAATAAAAAAATTCATAGATATTTTATTAAATAATTTTTTAAAATATATTACTTATGGTGTTAATCTCTCAATTTTTTTTATAACATATAGACTATCATTAGTATAAAAGACACTTTTTATAGAATTGTCGACTATCCCTACAACTCAACACGAGACTTTTTAGTGTGTTTTGTCCTCACTCACACATTTTCTGATAACTTTTCAAAAGGTCATCCATCCCACAATTTCTCCAAATCAAGTACGCTTAACTATGAAGTTCTTATGTAATAGGTCACCGAAAAGTAAATGCATTTTGTTAGTATAGGTAGTATCAATAAATTCTCTTAAGCTATCCTTCAACTGTATAGTCTCATACCTATACAGCCTCTGGATCCCTCTGCTTCAGGTGTAGCTATCCTTCAACTGTATAGTTCCATACCTATACAACCTCTGGATCCCTCTACTTCGGGTGTGTTTCAGTTCATTCATATGACCCTTCCGCTGGAAGCCTGTCGCTCCTTGTTTGTGTCTCACTGCACCGACGATCACTCCCCGCCCTTGTTAGTGCCTGGGATGTCACAAGATACATCAATATCACTTACACGTCCTAGGTGCTCTAGTCTTCCTACAATCAATGTTAATATGTTTTCTTGATTATGGGAACAAATGAGTCTTGAGTTGTCTGCTTAACTAAATCATCCTACAATATATCAACAAAAAGTAAATCATACACTACATCAAGTAGGAATCAAGTGAAATTAACATTATAACTTATGATTTTCTTATCAATAATTTGTGCAGACTCAGAACTCATTTGTCCATCAAATCTTGTGTGAGCTGCCTTCCACATCTCATAGCGGAGGGTGGATATGTAATGTTAGTAGACTTAAGTCCTGCTGATTCTACTCTTACCTTCATGAATTGTTACTCTAATACTGTGTACCCGCCTTACGACAATTGATGGGGTGTATCATTCAATTTTTTTTTTATTTTGGGGCAATTAGTCTTTTGTCCAGTAAAGCAAATAAGAAAATCAAACTAGTACATGTGTTAATAACTAACCTGCCAAGAAGGGTTCAATCGACTGACACAAAATTGCATCTAGTCCTCCTCACTAATTTGATATTTTAGACAGGAAGTTTCATCTTGATACTTTCCGAATACATGCTCTCATGTTAAGAAAATTTTGAAGTCCCTCCATTTGATGGCAATAACAGATAAAATCTTATTTCTCAGTGTTGGGAATGTCAAAGTTTTGCTATTAAAAGATCAACAAATATTAAATTCAATAATTAAGTTTTGCAGTGTTTAAGAAATGTGCAAATATCTACCACATGAGATTCTTCTCAGTTTACTCAACATTATTCAACGATGGAACAACAATAGAAATATAACTTTAAGATCTGAGTCCCACGTAGCTCATAAACTTTGTAGCATTTGGTCCAACGCTTTGCCAAAATGAAGATCCACGTCAACTTGTGTCCTCTCCCTAGCAACGCGGCTCGCTGTCAATCTAGCCAATAAGGTGATAAATCTACCTTTGCTTCTACTACTAGGAGACCTTGAATTCGCCATAAGTCTAAAAAAATATCAATATGATCAATAAACTTCAAAATAAATACAAGATACTAATAACATAACAATTAACTTAATATACAAACACCTATTAACGTTTTGTACATTTTTTTATACCCCAATATGCATTCATCCAATACTAATCCATAACTACCTAGGTTATAAATTTAATCATCATCAATTATACAAATTTAATAATCACCAATTAGTGTTTATAACTATCTTAGATTACAAATTAATCATCATCAACTAAAATTTTAAATGAACAAATAACTAAATAATTTAGTCATTTATAGAGACTAAAACACATCTTAATATTTCATATAAATATAAATTTTAACTTAAAAAATAATTTTAAAAATTAAAAACAAAAAATAGTGATTGAATTCAAAAATAAGAAAAACAACCATAGTTTTAATGCATGCCAAAAAAGATTTTTTTTCAAATCTAGCAAATATACGTGGATAACATACTGTAACTATTATTTACCTCAATAGCACACTTTTATTGGAAAGTGTTAAAAATTAATAAAATTTTTAAAATATAACAATATTTATTAAATATAAATATATATTATAGAATTTTATTTTATATATATATATATGAAATAAAAATAAATATAATTTTTATATAAAAAAAATATATTTATTTAATTATATTATTAAAATATTTTTATAAATATAGTAAATACAAATATATTTAATCTATATATATATATAATAATATTTAAATAATTATTTATATTTTTATAAATAAAATAAAATTTAATAAATATATATATTTATATCTTTTTAGATAACATTTTTTATATAAATAAATTATATATATTATTTAAATATATTTTTAATATAAAATAATTGTAGTAAGTATTATATTATCATATATAAATATTATATAAGTATATTTAAATAATATTTATAAATATATAAATATATTTATAAAAGTATATATAAATATATTAAACATATAATTTTATAATATATTTTTATTATATATAAAAGTATATATTTATATTTATTATATATATATATATTTAATAAAGTTATAACGTATATAACAAAATATAAATTTGTGTTTATCACATTTATAAAAATATATTAAAATATAATAAAATATTTATATATAATTTTATATTAAAATTATTTTATATTATATTATAATAAAAATGTATTTATCATATTTTTATAAAAAATATTATTTTTACTTACTACAATTATTTTATATTAAAAATATATTTAAATAATATATATAATTTATTTATATAAAAAATGTTATCTAAAAAAATATAAATATATATATTTATTAAATTTTATTTTATTTATAAAAATATAAATAATTATTTAAATATTATTATATATATATATTAAATATATTTGTATTTACTATATTTATAAAAATATTTTAATAATATAATTATATACATATATTTTTATTTTATATAAAAATTATATTTATTTTTATTATATATATATATATATATATATAATATACTATCCACGTATATTTACTTCAATTAGATGCTAGATTTGAAAAAAAAATCGGTAAAAGAATATAACTTAAAAGAAATTTAACGCAATTTTTATGTTGGATTATGGGCTTTAACATTAAAAAAATTTACAATTACTTTAAAAAATGTTAAGACATTTTCTTAAATTAATACTTAATGTAGAAAACTTATTTTTCACTGGTATCTAGTGTTAATCTCCACCAAATATATTTGAAAAATGGGTAAGTCAAAATAAATAAAAATATATATTATAAGAACAAAATTATGCACAAAAATCAAAATAAAAAAAAGTATAGAAAAGAAAAATAAAAAATAAAATAATAAAATAAAAAGTAAAATGAAAGTATATCTCAAGAATATGAAGTCTTCAAGATATTAAATAATTAAATGATTAAATATTCAAGTCTTCAAGAACTGACAATATCAGTTCTGAAAGTGAAGTACATATAAAAGTTGTAATATAACTGATTCTTATTTTTGCACGACAAAATATTTCATTTTTTGTGTTCTTTCACACGTCATTTTCACTTACACGTTGTTTGCTCTAAAACCGATAAAAATGATTAAATATTAAATTATCAAAGATGAAAAATTTAAGAAAAATATTTTTATCTCTATAATTTTAGTTTTATTCTTTATATGTTTAAATTAATGAATTAATTCTTCAGTTTTGTATTATCTCTGACCAATTTCACTTAAAACCAACTTTTGTCAAAAAGTATAAAAAACTAAGAAACATTTTTCTCGAAATTTTAATAATAACTGTTACTAACATAATGTTACACGTTCTTGTAGCAATTTTCCTTTTTTGTTTTTTACTTTCAGTATTTTCACTATTAACATTATTTTAAAGATATAATCACAAGGCACAAATTTTAAAAATAATTAAAATTAGTAAGAAAACCCATTTAACAGTATTAGTTTTGTATATAATTTTTAAATCATAATATGAATACAAATTTCTCATTCCAGTATAATTAATTTATATTTCCAAATTCAAATCTTAACTGTTGATTAAGATAGACGCAGCTAACTCATAAATTTTAATGTAATTTAATAGGTTAGAAAGGAGTAGAAACTTATGGACAATGTCAATGTGCTGTGGTGTGGCCTCACTCTACCTTCCTTCTTTTACTTTCTTTATGTCTTTATCAACAAGCAACCGACAATCTCTCCATTGATCAGAACAAAGCAACAAAAGATTTTTTTTTCTTTTTTTCACATGTTGTTGTTACAAAATCATTAAATGATAACATAAATACGAATTATGAGGTAGAACCTTTGGTTAACTTGGTCATTGGTCATTACTTTCCTGTTTTTGGGCACAGAATCAAAACTGATCTTTATCAAAGTTAACCATCCCCTATTATTTCGGTATAGTTTTTTTTTTCTTGGTTTTAGTGTACTTATGATAGTGTTAGTAACCCAATAGAAAATTGAAAAGAAATATCAAGGAATCCTATCTCAGGTAATTCTCCCTGGTGGGAACCACCTGGACCATACACAAATTTGTCATCTTCAACAAAGATAAGCACTCAAACCATGTATGAGTTCCATAAGGGCACATTCATGGTGGTATGTTCTTTCAATTCATAATGAAATTCCCCCAAAGCCACCTTCTTTTGGTTTATTAACTCAAAACCCAATTTTCCAAATTCCATCCTCTGATCAATTTTTCTTTCTATTTTTTCATACCATACTGATCAACCACCCTTGGTTTTTGTGATCACTCTTGAACCACCCTAATGGATATTGATGAGTGGGAGTTTCTATCTGATGATGGCTATCTTGATTTCAACGAAGATGGTGGGAAGCAAAAGCAAAAAAATTCCCTTGGAAAGGGAAAGTTGGACTCAAAGAGTGTGTTTGACATGGACTACTTTTGCTCATCACCACCACCACCAAGGGTGCGCACTCAACTAGTCCCTTTGCCAATTGAATTGGAGCCAAGAATTGGCAAGGCCCCAGAAGATGTTGTGGTGAAAGACATCATGAAAAATAGTCCTGTGAGAGGGGATGTTGCAACCCCGTCAGAGAAAACAAGGGATTTTGAGACAGTGGAGGCTGATAGAGTGAAGGTTTTCTTCAAGATCAAGGAGAAAAGTGATTTTGTGGACATGAAAATGGACTCCCCCAAGTCAAGTAGTAGGGGAATCATGCCCCCAATTGATGCAGGAGGCTACAAATTTGAGGACAAAGGAGAGAGCATAGAGATCATCACCTCTCCCAGAAGGAGGGTTATTGAGAAGGATGTGTGTGACAAAGAAGAGGATTCCACTTGGGAGGAAGAGAACAACAGTGGTTTCAACTTGTGGAAGTGGAGTTTGACAGGTGTTGGAGCCATATGTTCTTTTGGTGTTGCTGCTGCCGCTATTTGTGTTCTTTTCTTTGGGAGCCAGCAAAGAAACAAAGTAAAGCAGGATCAGAAGATTCGTTTCCAGATCTATGCTGATGACAAGGTCAGCTAATCTCAGATTTTCTTTTTTCACTGGGTTTGTTGCTTGCAAAACTGAAATCAAGTTTTTTAAAATATCACTTTGACTGCAACATCAAGATTTAGGAGTTTCATAGCTGTTTTTACTGTTGTTTTTTAATTAGAATTGAAGATTCAGTTCGTTGATTAATGTTGACACTTAAACCTTTACAGCTTGAAACACTGAAGTAGAACTCTACTTTTGTTTTAGAAGTAACACCTTAATAACTCTATAAATTTTGCGTTTTTGAAATAATCAGTTCATATGCGACTATAACTGTCAGTGTCAATTGTGTTCGTTCACAATTTTTTACAATAGCATAGATCATAAGTAGAATTTTGTGAATGATTTTGTATAGGATTTTGTTAATTATTTGTTTAAGAAATGTCAAGGAAAGAAAAAGTGTGTTTACTTTTGGCAAGAGTGGATTACTAAATAGTTTACTGGTTTTGGTCCAATATTGTTTTCATTGGTTGTTGGATGCTGAACTAGTGAGTGGTTGTGATTTCAGAGGATTAAGCAAGTGGTGCAGCATGCAGCAAGAGGTGTTCCAATGAGCAGAGCTCACATAACTGTTGGCGGTTACTATGATGGTCTTTGAAGCATTGATTAGGTGCCTTCATGAAGCAATTGGAGTCTGCAATGGATCACTATTTCCATAATCTGGCCATATTCTATACTGCTGTAAATAACTGATGCCAGATTTCTGTCAAAAAGAAAACCATGATGCTAGATTGCTGTTGATGTTTGTTCTCTATATTTTCTGTGGTTTTGTAAATTAAGTCACAGATTAGAGGCACTTTTATTATTATTATTTGATTATTATTTTGGAATCTATATATCAAGATGTTTCTAGCTTTATTTACAGTGTATATTTTAAAGTATCAATGATTACCAAATACTAAGGTAGTGTTTGGTTAACTTATTAGTTTTTTTTTTTGAAAAGAGAAATTATATCATATATTTCTTATTCGATTGAACTGATTTGCAATTTTTCTGTCCATCATTTTTTTAATGCTTTTTTGGATTGTCATTTGCCAATATGAAAATGCGATTTTGTCCGTATGCCTGTATTTTTCTTATGTAAAAAAAAACTTCAGATAGATTAGATTAAATATATAAAAAAAATCTATAATTCTTGTTTTTAAATAAATATATATATATATATATATATATATATATATATAATATTAGTAATAAGTAAAATTAGGATAATCTCTTGTCAAATCTCAAATTCAATATTCATACATATTATACACATGAACCCTTGGTATTTTTCATATTAAAACACATAATCAAAATTATACTAAATAAATCCACATATTCCAACATAAATTCATAATATGTTTAAAAATATTATTCAATCAAATTTGGTATTTAACGAAAGACTTTATATTCAAAGATATTTAATAATTAATATCATTCAATAAAAGAGACATTTTAAAGAAACATTTTAAAGACTTTACGTTCTTGTAAGATTTGTTTTATGAGAATGATTGAGCAAACTTCAAAAACATTGAACAAATTTTAAATCTATTACTATGGTTGACCAAATTATGTAAATATTTTCAATGTTTGTTTTTGTCAAATTTCCATTGATTGAAATATAGACAAAATTAAATCATCGCCATTATCCCGAATCCGGTGAGCAAAAATTAGGTATTTTGAACACTATCTTAAAATTATTGTGGATTTATGAAAGTAAAAAAACTACATCATTTTTCAAATACTCTATTTTCAAAACTCCAAATCAAATTAAATCCAAATACTATCATCCAAATTGAAAATCAATTTATCAAATTTAATCTATGTATAATTAAGCAATACAAAACATTATAATTTCCAATATCATAAAAATCAATTATCAACTCACATTCAATCACAATTAAAATCAACATGCAACAACATATATAATCATATAATTCAATTCAAATTCTGCTCACAGAAAATCTCAATTAATAAATTAAGTATATCACAATATTTTTAAACGAGTCAAAACTCATATTTGTCAAATAAAGAAAGACAATAGTCATACATCTTGGTTCACCTAACTTGTAAAAATATGGATAATGAGAAACTTACTCTATTTGAAATTACAATAAAGCAACAATGATCTTCTAAACTCCAAAAGTACTAAAACAGGTTTGGATCTAGAACAATATAAGAAAATAGAGAGAAGTAAGATAAAAAAAGTTTTATATATGTTATTTTTGTGATAATGAAGTTTGAATGGTTGAACATTTCTATTTAAGTTTTTTTTAACTTATCCGAGTAAAATTTCAAATTTTACTACTACTAAATTACGTCTACTCTTAACACATTAAAATTGGATACTCACAAAAGTCACTATCTAAAACATATATTTATAATAATGATTCTTTCATTTTTATTATATTTAAATTTAATGATTCATTAGATTTGTGTTAATACAAATTATTGAATTTAAATATTTAAATTTAGTGATCCATTAGTTATGAGTCCAAACTAAAAACATCTTATGATATTTCTTGATTTAAAATGTTTCCTTTATAATGCTCTACAATTATTAATCAATATATGCTGCTTGAACCGGTCAGTTTTGAATGGATTTAATCTTTCAATCTTTTCTATCAATTTTGGATAGTATTGATTAAAAAGAAGATCCGTATGTGAAGATATTAACATGTTCAAATCAATATTAATATGAGAATAATATATATATATATATATATATATATATATATATAATATTCTAATTTAATTTTACGCAGTGTTAATCTAGGGTAGGTCAAAGTTAATATAAATAAATTAGATATTTTTAAAATTTCAAAATTTATGGTTATTATTGTATTTTCTTCCTTTAAAATGCATTATTGTCACTTTCGAAAAGTCAAGTCCTTTGTAAAATGCAGATATGCATTGTTGAGGGTGAAATGAAGTTACAATCGTTGATTAAAAGATTAATGTTTAAAATTATAATAAAATAAAATAAATTAGAACTAGTTATATATAATCCTTATTATGGTGAGTTTTAATTTAGAGTTATTATTGTTCTTTATCACTAATGTTGATTATGTAAAGTTTTAAAATAAAATATATATTTAATAAAATCTAAAATTAATTATGATGATATCTATTTATATTTTAGGTTTCTGTTATTATTGTACTTTATTAGCTAAAGTGTTCTAACTTTAGAAAAGATTTTTTTAAATATAGAATATTTGAATTTTCGAAATTGTGGAGATGCTATCACTTAAAAATTAATAATTTAAAATTATAATAAAAAATATTTATAATATTTTCTAATTTATGGTGTATTATCCTTTTCTTCCCAAAATTTAAAAGAATTAATCTCTTTCAATAACTATTGAAAGATAACATTGCTATTCAAATATATTACTCATATATGTTTATATGTTTGATTTATTTTTATATTTACATTTTGAAAATAATTTTAATAATCAAATTTAAAAAGTAATTATTTTAAATAATTGTACAGTAATCTCTTTCAATAATTATTTATTAATACACGTCAAATACATTACACACATGTTTAGTTTTATTTTATGAAAATAGTTATTAATTTTAAAGAGTTATTTTTGACATAAAATTAAAAAATTATTTAATAATTTTAATTTAAAAATATTTTTTTTAAAATAGAAGAGTATTAAGAAAATGAAAGGACGAATTCTACTATAATAAAGATAAAACAAAGCGATAAAAAGACTAATAACATTAATAAAAATAAAAATAAAACTAAAAATTAAAAATCCTCTTAAAAATAAAAAATAAGGAAAAATATTTTTGAAAACTATTTTAACTAAAAAAATATAAATTTTTTTAGTTAATTTTAAAAAATAATAAATAATTTTTCTCTTATTTATTTTGTATTTCGTTTTAATTAACTATTTTTACTATTTCATCAATTTTTTTTTAAATTTCTACTTTATCTTTCCATCTCTATATTTGAAAATGGGTAAACCAAGTGAGTTATTATCTTTTATGGAATAAATAACTTAGTAAATAATTTAATTATATTTTTACTTAATTAAATTAGCACTAAAAATAACAATAAAATAAAATCTAAAAAGAAGTCAAAAGTCAATATAAAATTAACACGAATAATTATATTTTATTCAATGGTTTGATGCTCGTGGTTCCACATATTTTACCAAGTGCCACATATTCTACAAGTGACTTCCTACCTCTTCGTATCCAACTTGTTTTATATTTTTTAAATTTCTTGCGTATTTTGTTTGTAAGCACTCTTTTAAAAAAAATTATTAAAATAGATAAATGTTAAAAATATTACGATCTTTAATTAATCTTATTATAAAACACAATTTCAAAATCAAAAGTTATATTTCGAAACCTAATTTTTTTTTATATTTTTTAAGAAAAATTAGTACGATTTCAACATAAAATATTGAAATCGTATTACAAAATACGATTTTATTTTTTTATATAATTAATAATAATAATAATAATAATAATAATAATAATAATAATAATGTTTATAGTATTAATATTTTAATATACTTTATTATTTTATTAATAGTTTTATTATAATTAATAATAAAATAAATAATAATTATATTAAATATAACTAATAATTATTATATTAAAAATATTTAAATATAAAAATTAGTGTTACTAAATACGACTACATACTTATTATTTAAACGTAATTTTTTAAAATTTATTTATTTTGATAAATTAAAAAAAATTACACCAATTTAATTTAAAAACCGTATATCTTATACCTAGTGTAGAAGACATTAAGCTACACAAATTGGGAGAATTAGTCATGGAAATCACCTAATATGTGAAGGATTTATAACTCACTTAAACCAGGGTATCATTGAATATATACACAAATCTTATTATTTTAATTGAGAATTTGAATTTTTAACTATACCTATTCATAAATAAAAGGAAATTATTATTATATGTTCCGACGTATATAATTTAGAAATCGAGATTAATAATAACTTATATATCTCCTCTCTTAACCCTCTTAAATGATTATTATATTTATTAAAATCCAAAAAATCGGAATTCAATTACAAGGACGAGGTAGGAAAATCGTTTGATTATTTTTTTTATTCTATCTATAATAAATCGTTTGATTTTTTTTTTATTCTATCTATAACTTATTAAATATGGATTGAATTATTATATGGACAAACTCCAATTCGTATCACCAATATTTTTTTTTATACATTTTTTTATATATATTTAATTATATAAATTTTTTTAAAATTTTTATTTGTTAATTAATATTTTTATTAGATAAATTGAAAAAATTATTATATAAATGTGTTAAAATACTCAATTATAATTAATAATTTGAGTTTAATTGATTAATATATATTATTTAAATTATAATATTACAATATATTTATATATTTTAATAAGATAATACAAAAAATATAATATTTTAATTATAATTTTTTTTTAATATATAAATATTTTTTAAAAACATACTAAGAAGTTAATATTTCATGTTGAGTTGAAAGATTAGATGAGACGGATAAAATGAATTAACAAATTAAAACTACTAAATCATCTCGTTAATTTGAAGTGAACCAACTTTATTTTGTCATTAAAAATTGAAATTTT